ATCCTTCCACAAGGAGGAAATTTCCTCATTAGTTAAAGGTACTATAATTACTGCTGGATCTTTTCCAGTCAGTTGATGAAGTCTTAATTTTCCCTTTAAAATCAAATCAGAAATCTTTTCTATATATGTCTTTAACTTTTTGTTCTGCTTATGTGGCAGGAATATGCATTCCAATATAGTGTTTTCTCTCTGCATCAGTATTCCTGAAGGGTATTCTCTGGATGGCAAGATAACCAGAATACAGTCTAAATTAAGGTTTATCCGATCTACATGTGCATCCAATATTCTGCTTTCTACCCATTGTAACTCTTTTTCTGCCTCAGCAGATAATATTCTAGGACTGTTTAGGTCCTTATCACCTTTAAGGGCCATTTTTAAATGCTTTAAGTCATGTCCTTCTACACCAATAATTGTCTGTAATTGAGAAATTTCCCCTAATAATTTCTGAAGAGAATTAAGAGTTTGATAACGATCTCTCCTAATTTGTACCTTTTGCGGACTGATTCTTTGTAAGCCTATCTTGTAACCTAAATAGTTAAGAGAATCTCCTCTTTTTATCTTTTCTGGGGCAATCTGTAATCCCCAACGAGGCAGAACTTCCTTCAACATTTCAAACATACGTTCCAAAGTTTCTTTATTGCAATCTGATATAAGAATGTCATCCATAGAAACAGGAAGCATCCCTCTTTTCCCCTCCACTCCTGCTCCAGCGGCACAATGTGATCCAACAGCAAGGAAGGATGCCAATAAGGCGTCCAATAAGATAAGTCTTATAAAATACATAGGTTTATGATAGTTAAGACTGAGCTAATAGATGAGAAATCCTAGTTATTGGCCAAGAAATTTTGAACCTAATACAAGTTTCTGTGTATTCATTTGGGCCCTAACTCAGGATGGTGGCTGGTGTAAAGCTCACACGTGGTGGTGGAGCTCAGGCGGCTTCTGACAGAAAGATTTATCATAACAAGAGACCACATTCGTCTAGATTTCCCTGAATTCTTTGCATTACAATGGCATGAAGTCCATGTGGATGCAGCATTCTGGGATTCAGATTCAGGACCTTCAGCATCAAGCCTCTGAGAACAGGGCCTGGAAATACACATTGCTAACAAGCACTCATTGCAGTCTAGGCTTCTGCTCTCTGTGTGAGGAGGACTCATGCACTAAACTGATTTTGCTTGAGAATGAACTTAAGAACACAGTAAAAATCCAGATGCTTTATATTCTCAACCTTTGATGGCTCTGTCAAAACTCAGAGGCAGTAGGAAAAGTCCTGTTTAACATCCTGTTACACTTAATTGAATTCATTTTGTCGTGCGGTTGTAAAGTTTCCTGATATTAATGAATACATGATTAGTTAATTAGGCACGATTAGTTTCATTACACTTCAGGTTTTTTCTTGTTCAGATTTAGTTCAGACTACATGATGTGCCTTAACAAAATTCTGAAACCATCTCAGAAGAGCTGCCTGAGGTTCCTGTTCTTTTCATGATATTGCTTTCTACCCCATCATCGTCATCCTCAAGCACAGCTAAGCTGTTCTCCTTTCCTCGAAGGAAGGACCATTTTGTGGGGAGGTGTAGAAATTTCTACATTTTTGATTCTCCTTCTTCCTTCTCTCTCTCCCTCCCTCCCTCCTTCATTTCCTTCTGTGAGGGTCCCCCTTTTCCTCTCTGCCTGTTGGCCATCAGTCCATTAGGACAAGGGGCAGAAGCCAGAACAGAGAGCTTTGTGATCCTGTGAGCATGACAGAGATAGTTGGCTGTGAGATAACTTCAGTGAATCAGCTCAACTTTATTCCAGAGTATAGCGAATATATTTGGGAATGGTTGCTGGGGAATCACCTAATTTGCAGTAAACAGCACACTCCTGTCATAAGGCTCCTAGTACAAGTCTTGGTTATTATGTATGGAAGCACAGTCCCATAGTAATGTTTCTAGCACACTGTCTAATTACCATCTGGGCAGCAGGGGGGAAAGCTTCTGCAGGGAACTGGGTCCAGGGTCATACTAGAGATAAGTACAGCAACTGAGCCTAGAGACAGTCTCCAATTAAAGTCAGGTAGAGAGTAGGGTGCCTTCCACCAAAGGCAGGGAGTTGTCCATGTTGCTGAGCTCAGAGAGAGCTTCCAGGTTGTGGTAGACTGCAACCTCCAACCAGCAGGACCTCTCACCTCTCACTCTTCCTTCCTTCCTTCCTTCCTTCCTTCCTTCCTTCCTTCCTTCCTTCCTTCCTCCCTCCCTCCCTCCCTCCCTCCCTCCCTCCCTCCTTCTCTTCCTCCCTCCTTTCCTTCCTTCCTTGTTTCCTTTTAATTTAGTTCTTATGCAAGCAATATTCCTGCCCCAGGAATTATAGACATGGGTCATAGTGCCGGCCTCTATAATACTTTGCTGACTATATTTAATCTCTAAAACTCCTATTGTCCATGTTGCTGTTGGAAATACACATATTTCAACCACACACACCCCAGTGCTGGGTACCACAGTGCTGCAGCAGTAGAGTGAAGCAAGCAGTTCTCTTGCCAGATTATATGAAAAAGCGACCATTTCATTTAAAACCCAAAAGTATTTCTTTTTTTAATTTTAATTAGAAAGAAGAATATTTTACATGTCAATCTCAGGTCCCTCTCTCTCCCCTCCGTCCCTGACCCCCTCAACTAACACCCTACCTATCCCATATCCTTTCTGCTCCCAGGGAGGGTGAGACCTTCCATAGGGGGTCTTCAAAGTCTGTCATATTCTTTGGGATAGGGCCTAGGCCAACCCCCTTGTGTCTAGGCTCAGGGAGTATCCCTCCATGTGGGATGGGCTCCCAAAGTCCATTCCTATGATAGGGATAAGTACTGATCCACTACAAAGGGCCCCATAGATTTCCAAAGTCTTCTCACTGACACCCACATTCAGGGCATCTGGATCAGTCCCATGCTGGTTTCCCAGGTATCAGTCTGGAGACCAAGAGCTCTCTCTTGTTCAGGTGTGTGGAGCAAAAGCAACAGTCTATAAATTCTATTTTCATTTGCAGACATGAAGAAGATGAGTCTCAGAAATGGATATTTGGAACAGATGGCTGTATTTATTCTAAGGTAAGGACTGGATAGGACACACCATTTATTCCTAAGAAAAGTTGTTAGATTCATGTAAAATAAACTGTTTTAGAGAGAGATTCTGTATCTGCACAAATGATAATGCTTTCTGCTTTGAAATTGAAATTTTAGCTTAATTTAACTCAATGGTTGCCCTGGAATTTTATTTAATTTTAAAAATCATTGTTTTTCAAAGTATAAATTAATTTTTCATAACTCATTGACTCCATACTCAGAGTTTGTTTCTTTACACTTTAAAATAAGATTAGTTCAGTACCTTCTTGATTTTTGGACTAACAAATGTGTTGCTATCTTTAGTATTAGAGTTTTACCCTCAAGTTCTGTTGGGCAACCAAGTGTGATTGTGAGAGCCTCTGTTGTTTGAGGGTCTCTGGCAACCCCTGGCCAACAAATTGGAGGGAGAAACACCCTACACCTGTGACTCGGCTGTTTGACTGTCCAGGGTTTCTAGGAGCATTATCCCCTATATGGGAGAATTCCAGTGAAACTACTTTCAAATATATGGCTTGGGACTGGAAATATGGCTTAGCATTTAAGAGCATGTGCCACTCCTGCAGAGGACCCAGGTTCATGCCCCAGAACCCTTATGAAGGACACCTTTAACTCCAGCTCCAGGTAGACCCAAAGCCTCTGCAATTCAAGGACACCAACACTTGTGTGCATGCACTGTCTCACAGACACACACACAGACACACACACACACACAGACACACACACATACACATACACACACAGAGACACACACACATAGACACACAAATACACACACTGACATACACACACAGACACACACACACAGACACACATGTACACACACACACACACACAGAGAGAGAGAGAGAGAGAGAGAGAGAGAGAGAGAGAGAGAGAGAGAGAGAAATAAAATTAAAGAATACATTATTTTAGGACACTTATAGGTTTCCACATGGTTTTTAAAAACATCCTTAACATTATTTAGTGTTTCCTGGATTGCTAAGGATGCTGAATACTTTTAAAAATACCTCTTAGTAGGTCTCACTTTCCATACTGACAGATGTGGAACAGAACCAAATTTCAGATCCACCTTCATCTTTTCTCCCCCTATCTGTGATTTGTAAGTGAAGTATCTCCTTCACTTACATGTACCAAAGACTTGAACCTGAGTCTGTGGACCATTGAGAAGTGATTGGAGCATTTAGGCTGTAACCAAATGAACTGATTAATCCACTGATGAATAAAATTGAACCAACCAATAGGCTGTGGCAGAAATGTGACAGGCGGGGGTTAGGGCTGGGTATGCCATTTTTCTCTTCAAGGTGTGCATGGTGCTGGCCTTTGCCTCATTCCACTCTCACTCCTCTCTGGCTGTCACGAAGTGAACAGCTTTGCTCTATTATGCCCTTCAGCCATAATGGCTTGCCTCACCACAGGCCCAGAGACATGGAACCTCATGCACTGAAACCATGAGCCTAAATAAATTCTTATTCTTTCTCCAGGCTGTTTCCAATGTTGTCCCTGTGATGAAAGTTTTTCTAATACTGTTTAAGTACCTCCCTGCCCCTATCCAGTGTGTAGCTTCTGTCCTTACCATGTTTATATCTGGTTCTCTTAGGAGCAAATCCCTGCAAGCAGGTGATCCATGCTTTCCTTCTTAAAACACAAGTTAGTCTTAAGTAGGTTTGGATTCTAAACTTCATTCACAAATACAATCACTGATTTTTCTATAATTATTATAAATTCACAGAGAAAAACTTTATTAGTGAAGCATTTCAGGCTTTGAGACATTTGAAAATTCAACTAGCTTCACATTTAGTCATATCCAAATTATTTTCATGTATTTAAAGATAAAATGGAGGATAATTTGGTAATTATTTGCAGCTGTGCTCATGCCATTTAGTTTTTTTAAGGATGGAATTGCTATTATAGGATACTATAAATGTATCTTGGATCCAACACTTATTAGCTGTGTGGCCTTAGGCAAATCACCTAACCTTTCTGAGCTTCACATTTGTCATCTGCAAAGTAGAGATATTTATGCTAACATTGTAAGCATTTGGCACAGATCCTGGTTTAGAACAGGTAATTGGTAATTTGCAGCTAATAATGATAATAACAGGAAAATTTAAATACATTTACTGCATTTTACTGTGTTGTTTTAACTTGGATAACTGTTTTCTTTTTATGTCAACTATTTCTTTACTCACTTGCAAAAAGTAATAAAATCATGTTTTGTCATATTTGACCACAGCTAAATTAAATATTTAAATTTGAATGCTCACATAGAAGAAAATGTACATTGAAGCATCTAACTCAGTGTAGTGATAAGTATGCAATTTTGGAAACATAGAAATAAAGACATAATCTGTTTAAGAGAAGACTGCTTTGGGACAAGTGTGAAATTAAGAACTCCTAAGCTAATAATAGCGTAAGCAAAAATTAAATAAGGAATCTGGGTATGGTAGCTAATGCATTTAATACCAGTAAAGAGGCAGACAGGTGGATCTCTGTAAATTCAAGAGCAGTATAGTCTACTTGGAGAGTTCCAGGGCAGCTCAGGCTACATAGAGAGATGCCATCTCAACAAAATAAAACACAAAAGGTAAATAGTAAATAAGGAAATATGAAAAATTCTTTGTAACATCAGCATCAAAGAGTGAGATAATATAATACTGTATAGTAAGGCTAGCATTTCAACAGGAAAGTTTAAACCTGTTGATAGAAAAAAAGGTCAAAGGACATGCAAACAAAGCACATCAAAGAAAAATTAAAAGAGACAAGCCAAACAAAGCATGTGGTCTCATTAAGGAGTCAACAACTGTCAGACAGTGAGATAGTACATTCCTCCCATGAGAGAAATAGTAAGCCTGGGACTCTCAAGTCTGATGAAGGTATTGGGGCACATACATGCTCACCTCTGATTAGCATTAGTTTTTTTACTGTGTGTAGTAACTTGCTTCCAAAGCACAGAAACTTCAACAGCAAACACTCATAGTTTCATGGGTTGGGAATCCAAAGTGGCTTCACTATAGTTATCATCATCAGCAGCAGCAGCAGCAGCAGCAGTATATATTGCCTGCATGTATGTCTATGCAGTTCAGATGTGTCTAGTGTCTAGGGGAGCCAAAAGAGGGTGTTGGAACTGGCATTATAGGTGGTTGTGAGCCACCTTGTAGGTGCTGAGAATCAAACCTGGGTCCTTGGGAAGCACAGCCAGTGTTCTTATTCATTGAGCCATCTCTCCAGCCCCTCACTGGGTAGTTTTAACTCAGAGTTTCTCATGAGAATGGGGCCAATAGGTCAACCAAGAGCTTCAGACGTCTGTGGCTGAATCAAGATGGGAAGTCAGCATCTGAGCGTGTTCATACCTGCTGTTGCCCAGAGGTGTTAGTCCATCACAGTGTGACCACCCCCTGGAGTGCCATTCATAATGTGAGCTGTTGGAACAAGAAAAGAAGAAACAAGGGGAAAATAGCAGCTTTAGTGTCTCTGATAAGGTCATTTACACTTCTGCCAAATTCTTTAGGTTACATAGACCTATACTGGCAAAAACAAGGAAAGGGACTATACAAAAGTATGAATACAAATGGTATATTATTTCACTCAGCTGGTAGAGCATGAGACTCTTAATCTCAGGGTATAAGTTCGTGCCCCATGTTGGGCTCCATTTGGTAATGATAACTCTTTTCATCAGTTGTCAGCTTCCACTGCCATGCTAGGGCCCCCAAACAACACACAGAGTCTTACATTATTTACAATGCTGCTGGCCAATGACTAGGATTTCCTATTTGCTAGCTCTGTCTTAAGTATCAACCATAACCATTAATCTATGCATTTTATAAAGTCTTATATTATTGAGGACACTGGCCTTATATATCCTGTCTTCTTAGGGATCACATGGCAACTCTCTTCTTACTACATTTCCCAGAATTCTCCTTGACTCCTAGCTCCACCTATCTTGCTTTCCTATTGGCCAACAGTGCTTTATTTGTCAACCAATAAGACAAACATATACACAGAAGGACCTCCTCTATCATCTCCTCTTTTCTGTCTAAATAAAAAGAAGGGTTTAAACATTAACATAGTAAAATACATTAACAAAGTTATCAAGTAAGAACTATAGTTACAATATTTAGTTCATTAAAATTTATCAAGATTTTAAAGAAAATATTCTATCATCTATCCTATCTTTGTGAGTCTAAGGTCTTATATGTATCTTATCTTTTATAATAACTAAGAAAACTATTATCATAACAATCTGTCTTCAATTCCATCAAAGACCACAGAAGGATAATATATAAACTCTAGAACTGACAGACATCTCAAATATTCTATCATCTATCCTATCTTTGTGAGTCTAAGGTCTTATATGTATCTTATCTTTTATAATAACTAAGAAAACTATTATCATAACAATCTGTCTTCAATTCCATCAAAGACCACAGAAGGATAATATATAAACTCTAGAACTGACAGACATCTCGCTAACTGGACAGTCACCCAAAGTTCCTCTGTAACATTGGGGCATCCATCCTCAGCCTATAGGCCACAGTGTGTCTGGCAGACTTCTCCATGAAGCAGGAACCCTTCAGGACTTTCTTGTTTTGCAAGTTCAGCAGTCACTTTTCTGTGGGTCCTGCATGTCCAGTTTATCAAAAAAAAAGTCCAGGCAAGAGCAGTTTCTTGCCCAAGTGGCTAATCTTGCAATGTTGAAGGCAAACTCCATATTGAGTTTCTTTGATGCCCATCCTCCTTTCTGATGTAATTGATGTGCCAGTGTCTCACTGTCATGAAAAAACCCTAAACCATTTAAATGCCATATATTCTGTACATCTTTGATAGGTTTGAAGAATATCTATCCATCTCAAATACATCTCTGTACATCTAGAAAACCTAACTAACCTAACTGTAAATTTTGACTATTATATCTGATTATATAATCTGTATTTAATTATGCATTACAGTTTAAAAGATCTATATAAAGACAATACCTAAGCAAGAGGA